TTCAGATCTTTGCTCAGATGAAATCTACCCCAACCGTCTTATTTAAAATCACCTTTATCCTCCATACCAGCACTCTTGATCCTCCATACTCTGCTTATGTCTCACCTTCTGACACCTTTTTAATGTATATATTTATTGTGTTTGCTGTTTACAGTTTGTCTCTACACACTAAGACATGAGCATCAGGAAGGCAGGCGAGGTTTTTTGTCCTCTTTTTTTTACTGATGTAATCATTGAATGTACAGCAATAATGAGCACAGAGTAAGCACACAACAAATAGTTGTCAAATGAATAAATAAGTTATAAATGTATAAACACAAAGGAAGAGCATTCTGCAATATAATCCCCTTTAAAATCTGAAATACAATGACAATGATAGGAATCATTGTTATACATATTTAATTAGGGAAAATCAATCCCTAGGTTAACTAAACAACCAATTAAACCCAAAATATTTGGACAAGGCTCTTGAAAAACTCAACATCACCTCTAGTAAAGACTATTATTAACCAGAGCATGTAAATGTAAAATGCTTGAAAATCAGGAGCAAAATGCTCAAGGAGTAAAAAATGGTACCCCAGAGCCGGGCTCGGTGGCTCAGCCTGTAATCCCGCGCCTTTGGGAGGCTGAGGTGAGTGGATTGCCTAAGCCCGCGGGTTCGAGACCCACCTGGGCAGGCGAGACCTCATCTCTACAATAAATCAAAAAATTAGCCGGGCATGGTAGCGCGCGCCTGTAATTCTGGCTACTCGGAAAGCTGAGGAGGAAGGATCGCCGGAGCCCAGCAGGTCGAGGCTGCGGTGGCCGGGAGCGGCCACTGCACTCCAGTCTGGGCGACAGAGTGAGACTCCAACTCAAAAAAAAAAAAAAAAAAATGGTACCCCAGACATCTATAAAGTTTTTAATCTTTTGCACAATAAAAATTGAGGCAGATGAAAAAATTCAGGTCAATAATATCTCACAAGTGCAGAAATAAAAACTAATTCTGTATTTAGCTCAGATAGTTATACAAATACTAGTTAAAGTGCTAGAAAAGTACAAGACTACACAACTCTATAGTGTCCACTGACCTATCAATTTGCTTGTGAATTCTCTGGATCCCTTGTTTCTCCTTCTCATGTTGACCGCCTAATAGTTGACTACTGCACTGTTTGTTCTCAGTTCTCACAAGAGAGCAACTTAGGGAAACAAGGGGAAACTTAAGCAAGTTAAGGCAGAACCTTGATCGTAGCTAGGAGGAATATGTGGGAATCTTAGCCTGGACCAAGCAAGCATGTGTAGTAGTATTAAAGTCTTCACCAAGAGGGTGACTGAGCATATTTTTGGAAAGTTGTCGCCAACCTGGGCTTGATTAAATTTAATAAGGTGAGCATGAAGTCTGTCTAAAGTATGGACAACTGATAGAATTAAAAGAAGTCATTACATATTTGAATGTGCAAAGGAAGGAAGGAAGACAAAGACAAAGGCAGGGTACAGAGATGCAAGCCTCCCTCTGTTCGAGAAATCATTACAGGTCATTTCACATAACGAAAACACATTTAACGTAAGTAAGAACTAACACCAAACCTGCTTCCACCACTTACTAGCAGAATACCTAACTTATCAGAACATACTTTCTTACTTGTAAGACAGAGATAGTAATATTTTTTCTCATAAAATTGTTGTAATGATTAGATGGATAAATTATGCAAAAATCTAATAAGCAAAAGCAGATGTCTATCCTCCACATTCAAATTCCAGTTTCTATCACGTTATAAGCCTATTTGTTCAAGTGTTGACAGCCATCTCATTTTAAGCATTCATTCTTCTTTTCTATTTTTCAAGGATGAAACCCGAATAAATATCTAGAGGGTAATTAACATATGGCTAAAACTCTCATGGGAAATATAAAAAGATAGATTAAAAAGTACAACTGGAATCTGTTTTAAAACAAGAGGCAGCCTATGGATAAAAATGAGGTCTACCTCCCCTTAAATTGCACAGGGAAATACTGCAAAAGCACTATTTAAAATTAGAACGCAACATCTCTTGGAGGAGGGAAAAGATTTTCTTCGATTTTATACAGACCAAAGTGAAGAAAGCGCTTTGTTCTTTGTAAAGTTGCTTGATTGTAAGTTTTATGGGAAGAGGGTTCTTTGTTTCATTCATTGCTGCCTCCCTTGAATAGTATGTGGCTTGTAATTGGCAATTAGGAAATACTTCTGAACGAATATAGTATGCACAGATTATAGTGCCCTTGGCACAGGGACAGGGGTCCATCTGCCTCTAGAAGTGACCATACACACTTTAAAGACTTAATAACAAGACAAAATTTGATTAGCATCTAGATAAAAGGCATAGCAACTATTCTTGTGATTCCTTTTTTTCTGAACCTTATTTTATTGACAAAATGTGAATTTTTTAATATAGACATATGTATTTTTTTTTTAGAAAGCAGGGTTTATTAAAAGGACAGAAAAGCTCCCACAGAGGGAGGGGACACAAGGGGCTTGCCTGACATCTATATCTTGAAAAGAGTCTCACAGTTTCTGAACCATCATTTATAAAGTCCTGGAATTCTGCTGAAGAACTCATAGTTTATATGCCATGAGTATATGCATAAACATATTAAATGACTAATGACTAATAATTTCTTGACCCAGGACAATATAATTTCTTGAAATGACCAAAATAGATCATTCATGGTAGAAAAAAAATAGACAGCCAAAAGTTAGAACAAAAAAAAATTCTACTCCGATACTTACAAGCTAAACTCTAAACTTTAGTTTTTGTTTATTTAAAAAAATACTATTAGCCGGGCTCAGTGGCTCAGCCTGTAATCCCGCGCCTTTGGGAGGCTGAGGTGAGTGGATTGCCTGAGCCCGCAGGTTCGAGACCCGCCTGGGCAACTTGGCGAGACCTCATCTCTACAATAAATCAAAATGAGCTGGGTATGGTAGCGCGCGCCTGTAGTTCCAGCCTCTTGGAAGGGTGAGGCGGAAGGATCGTCAGAGCCCAGCAGGTCGAGGCTGCGGTGGCCGGGAACAGCCACTGCACTCCAGTCTGGGTGACAGAGTGAGACTCCAACTCAAACAAAAAAAATAATAATACGATTTATACAGAAAATCACATTTAAATTTTTTGTTATTTAAATTTTGGGATGTAACACAAACATCTAATAAGTTAGTAGGGCATAATAAATAATAGTAGGATATATTAAAATCTCAAGCCAAAGTAGTTTTTTTAGAATGTTTAATTCACATTATATAACAGCAAAATATACTTGGACTATAAACCATACAGGCTAGGTGGGCATCTACAGATGTTGGTCCTGGTCTAATGATAAAGTATTCAGACTTTGTTAAGGTAAATAGTGCACCCTGTGTACTTTCTTGCCAACTGTCTTTGGACGGAACCAAAGATACAAAGAACAACAAAAAATAATTTTCTAATAAATCCTTTATTCCTCCAAAGTTGTATGAGAAGAAAGGTCGCTTTCTCACTTACTAGCTTACCTTTGGGTGCTCTTTTTCTTGATGATACATATTTGTATGTGTTATGCTCTATTTATGCATTCTTCAATAGCATTTTTATTTATGACTTTGTGAATCAACATCTTTGTGATAGGAGGCGAAAGTCACTTAGCTAATTACACATGCTTGATAAGCTGCATAATAATAACCACTGCAGGTTTGTACATTAGTCGAAGGTATGTAAATGACTGCAGTTATTCTCATTTGGAGGAAAACAAGAGAATTTTTTTCAAGTTGTTTAAAACACCTTGTTGCCTCCATATCCATCTTCTTAAGTATACTGAGCTTTTAACCCAAATCACGGCATCACAAAAAAATGAAGGTTAAATCCCATTCTACCAGCATTACTCAAGAAATAAGAGCAAAGATAAAACAAAACAAAACTCAATTTCATGCAATTACTTCAGATTCTCAGTTAAGAATTTTGTTATATGAAGTGTCTTCCATATAATGCAATCCCAATAAAACAGAACCATTTAGACACTCCCTGCCCAACAAAGACGTTGTAATAAAATGTGACTTGGTCCAGCCAGGAGATTAGAAGTACACGGAGAGATAGAACGTGCAGCACTAGAATATTAATATGACTTCTGCACGAAGATTGAATATTCTACAAAGTTATGAATAAGGTCAAAGTAACACTTAGATGATTTACTGCAATAGAAAATCAGACTCTCCTATGAGTGATTTACTGAATGCTATATAAAAATGGAGTGTGGACAAACTACATTCAGATGCAAGCTTGCAGCTGTCAGTGTCTACATTTGCTCAATCTGGCTAGAGGATGATTTGAAGGTTGATTTAATTGTAGCTTCTGAATCATGCACTTCTCTATGTTTTAAATTGTTTAACATAAATATAAAAATGTTAAAGTAATTTTAAGACTGTAAATATTTTGTATAAAATCTGCAAAATCTCATTCTCTTCTGGAGGAGTGACTGAAAAGGAAAAGCTGGCTGTCTGGGAAAAAATATCACCCCTTAATAATGATAAATGCTCAATAGGTATGGTTAATTTCCCCTTCTGATGAGAGATTCCTTAGAGTATTCAGAAGAAGCCAAGAATAAACAAACAAAAAACTATGTTTGTGACTGAAGCGATCCGTTTTAAGAGGAACATAAATATACATCTGCAGAAGAGAGTTCGGAGATCAAAGTTACCAGTGGGTAAGCCAGTCCTGTTTGGGTTGCTTGCAGGCAACATCATTGCCTAAGTATCGCTTCCTTGTCACAAACCCAAAGCAGAGATCAACCCTTGCTGATGCTGCCAACCCCAGAACACAAGGCCCCATCAATGAGCTTTGCCAGTGTTATCTACTCTGCCAGAGTGCTCCTCAGCCATCTTTCTACTCCTCGATAAGCTTCATCAAATTCCGAATATCACCTAACCATTCACTTCTCAGCATCAGCACATCATCTTTAGGGAGAGTATGTTGCTCTTCCTCTGCAAGCTTTTTCCCCCATTTTTTTTTTCCACTTTTATACATACCTCCTTTTCTACATATTTTCTTGCCGGGCTTTCTGGCACATTCCTTGGATATTCTTTTTACTGAAAAATGAATAGAAGACTAGAAAATAACATGGCGCTCCATCACAGACCGCCGGAACATGCAACACCACTCTCTAACTGAATACGCTCCTGCATCGACTGAGTGCGAGAGAGCCCCAGTTCACTGAGCCTGCACATGCAATGAGGAAATGTTGATGCACCTTCTCAGAAGTCATTTGGTAGGAAATGGAAATTAGAAACCCATTTCTACCTAAACATACGTGCTGTGGAAGAAAGAAAATGAGTAGACACAGGAAAAAAAATAAGAACAGCTACACTGACACACAAACAAAAAGTGGCATGCACGCATGTAAAATATGTCTACGTGCCAACAGGAAAAGCCATGCATACTACGAGTACACGTGAATTAATACTGTTAGAATAGAAAAGAAAAATGTAAATATATCTCCCTGTTTTTCCTGCAGTAAACTCACCATCCTCAGTTGGAACATATATGTTTAAATATAGGCAGTCTTCACTCTGGTCTTGTACATATGAGGAAACCACATCCAGGTTATTAGTAAACCACACAGGAAGCATGACTTCTGGCAACCTGCCATCGATGATATTCTGAGGACACACAGGAGCAAACTGAGTGGCATTCCTGATATCTGACCAGGGAGACGGTGGTTCCGGAGGCTGAAATCGATGCTCCCCTGTTGGTGGGGCCGCATATGGAACCCCAAGAAACTGAATAACAGGCCCCAAAATTTCATTATTGAGTTCCTTCTTAACCCCTCTTAGCTTGCCAAAGTTGGTCGTCACCAGTGGGTCCACGTCATCCAATTTTTGTGATTGCACATGGCCAGCCTGAAGCAGACATCCCAACACCCAGATAGTCAACGAGGCACCCAATCCCCTGTGTACCAAGCATGCCATCACTGCTCTCCAGACATAGTTTGGCCACATGCATCTGGGCAGTGCCATGGTCCCACATTAGTTGTCTCGTTGTCTGGTTACCGTGAGGCAAATGTATTTATATCCACTTGAAAAAGACCTTAAAATGGTAGAATATGCCTCCAATTTCTTAGAGGGAAACTTGTTGAGAAAAGCTGCGAAAGAGCTTCATGTAGCAAGTATCTCCCATTGATTTCACATGTATTGAAGCAGCATCTTCAATCATCACTATTTATCAAACCATATCCCATGGACCATTCTGTTTTCCATAACAGCAGTGTGACAAGAGTGGGCATCGACTGCAGATCTCCCTTTTATAAATCAAATCCAGTTAGCTGCAGGTCTATATCCTAGAGAAAATGAAAATAGATCATGAGTCAGAACAAGCTAAAATAGACATAGTGATAACTAGATGTTTTACAAGCTACAGAAATATATTAATAGTGGCTAGCATCAGGTAAGTTAAATACTACCACAAGAAAATCATAGTTTGATTGAGATGGTAAATGAAATAACTGATTATAAGGCTATTGAGAAACTTCCCTACATTTAAGTGGAAGCAGGTCTTGTCAAAATATGCAATTTCAGAATCATGTCCCAGTAAAGTATTTTAAAATATTAAATGCTATGTGTGAAATTTTCTTTTATTGGTAGTCTTTAATCACTTCAAGTGACTACAGAATTAATCAATAAGCATCCCCAGGATTTAATAGCAGAAAATCTTTTTAAAAATTTTGATAGTGAATTAGCAAACGGTAAACAAATTCCATAAGAATAATTGTTTATATTGAAAAACAAACAAAAAGGTGGTTTCCATTCCCCCACCAAAAACCAAAGATAAGTCAGAACAAGCAAATGAATACAAGTTTAGCTATGATTATTTAAGCACAACTATCTCATAAGATCACTTCCTTGACATCTCCTGAAAGTTTGCATGAAATTTTGGTTATCGGTTCCCCACCTTAAATTAAAATTCAACAATTTAAAAGAGAAAATGGCATCAGACATAATTTGAAAAAGAGACAGAAGTTGACATCATGTTTTGCAGACAAAAATTATTTGCCATCCAGCTATATATTTTAGACGTCAATAAATTTGCAATGTGAAAATACATTTCTAAGTCAAAGTCAACATATTTAAATTACAAATTTTATTCTCACTGTCTTTTAGAGATCAGAGGAAGAATACAAAAAGAGTGTGGTGATTTACAAAAACAATCATACCTAATCATGGCATCTTGCATATTAACACTAATCAAACATCTAACACAGTTTACTCAGTTCAACTTAAAATGCTTCAGAATAAAATGTAGCCTTCAATGGAATGTTCACTGTGTAATCTTACGTTACCTGTCAAATAACATACTGCTCAGAAAATCTCTTTTCTTGTACAAGCAACCTTTTAAAGTGCTTACTTTAAAAATAATAGTGTTGATTTGTATTAGAGATGGTTCTATCCTGTCATATTATGGGAAGATTCCTGAAGAAATGCTGGTCTGACAGTGAGACTGCCCTGACATTGTGTTATTTAAAAGGAGATTGTAAAAACTATATAGGGCAGCAGGAGATTTGGTTCCGGCCTGGTGTTCCTTTAGCTCTGAACAGTCCATTACAGAAGGCAATAAGGAGATAAATGTCTTTCTTCCAAAATAGTCTGTGTTAACTCACATATTTTTGCTGTGAAAGCACATTAACATAGAAAAGACTGGCTTAGACCCATCCTATTCCTGTTTTAGAACTCCGGCATTTATCGAAGATTTAGCTACGCAAACCCATTTCTGTAAGGAGTATATTATGCTTATTCTTGTGCAGAACTATGGTGGGCCACAGCATGACTGAATCTTTGCTACTTACCTTTTGGTGTTAAAAAAGCACCATTTTGACACCTAAAATAGAGACCCTGTGGTGAGACCTTAAAAATGTCCATCACCATTTTTTATTCAGCCTAATTTCAAGTGCTATACAGCAACTTCCAAAAGTTCTTTTTTTCACAGTTGATATCTCCTTAATAATAAAACCTACTTGTTTGGTTATTAACAAAATAACACTCTTTTATGCTCACATATCCTTAACTGTACGGAGAATAAAGAGACCCCTATTTCCACAGATGTGCTCCCTTAACCCAAATTGCAGAGAACTGGAATTCTGCCATGATGATTTTTCAAATTTCAGTGACATTTAGCTCCTGAGGTTACAAAAACTTCCCATTTTACATGTACGTACATACGGAGAACTGTATTATTGGCCAAAAAAATTCTTCAGAATTTGCTACTATAAGTCATCCAAGTCTAATATAAAAACATGGCTTGTTTAAATTAACTAAAATATAAATATATATTTATTTATTTAATTTATTTAAATTATATATATATGCACTTAAATAGAAACTTAAATATATAGATATACCTAAATAGAAAGAGTCTCAAGTTTGCTGAGAGGTTTTCCTCCCTGTTTATTGACACTTTCTTAGTACATACAAACTCCTTAGTTTTCATGCATTTATAAATCATTTACAACAACCCCATTAAATGGGCTCAACCATTCTGTCCTTTCTACTTGTGAGGACCTGAGACTCAAGAGGTTAAGTGCCTTGGTCAAGGTCTCTCAGCTTATCACAACAGATCCCAAAGCCCACTGCCATCTGGCTTAAAGGCCACCTCCTGGTCACTGCACATGATGTGATCTCTCATCACAATTACCACTTAAAAAAAATGATTCTGAGACAGGGTAGTTAGTGCAGGTTAGACATACGTGGATAAATTTCATGTAGGCAGGTTTTAGAAAGCATCCAGACATCCTGTTGGCAGGCTGAATAGCCCTATGGGCTGGAGTGTGAGTTCAGAGAATTCAGTTCATGCCACCCCCTCAGCTCGCCAAAGGAACACTCCATCAAGGTGGTTCCCAAACTGGGAATCAAAAGGCCATATATGATAATGATAATAAGACCACCTCTCCGCCCATCAGAGGCTACCTGTGTCCTGCTCTCTTTAGCATATGAGCTGTTGTGAAAACGTATCTAATTCCTGAGTCAGAACAAAAGCACAGTCTTTATCGAGAGATACGTGTCTATGCCAGGCCTTTCTGGCACAAAATTTTTTCCTGCCCTTTCCTTCCTCTCTTCATTTCACTAATAAACTTTGTTTTAAAACTTGTCTGGCAACTCTTAAGTTTATTCTAGAGTTGAGCCAAAGAATCCACAAGTTTTGCGCTGCATCCTCTCCGACATCAATACTAGAATATTTAAAATTGAATTGTAAAGTGTTTTATGTTTTTTCAGAACATGATGTCTTGGTGAACACTCTGACAATATCACAGAAGCAGAGAAATAAAAGTGGTACACCCCATTCTTATTAGAAGTATAGATTTTCTTTTGTTACAATTTTTACCTTTTTAAATCTACACTGACTATATGGATTGGTTGTTTATATGTGATTACACAAGAGCATGTGAAAACAATGGTTTGGTTACTTATCAGTAAACAAACAAACAAAAAAACCCCAAACACATAACAACCTAAATGCTTATTAATGGATATTGATAAATGAAGGATGATATATGAGTATTCACACATTGAAATTCTATATATCAGTGAACATAAAGGCCCTAGACCTAAAATATCAACATAAATAAATCTAAACTTTTTTGAGCTAAAAGAGCTGAAGATTAGATACAGTAAAAGTATTTAAATAAAGCTTAAAGAATTCACAACAAGACTATATATTATTCACAGATATATAAATAGTGGTAAAGGAATAGTTGTCTTCTCTTGGTAAGGAGGGCAGAGAATAAAGTTAATTCTAGCAATTAATTAACTAATAGACACCTGAGATGGTTAACCTGTGGTGAGGCCTTAAAAGGCTAACAATTCACTCAAACCAATTTGATAAACTTTAGTATTTGAATTTTCTGTATTTTTGAAATATTTAAAAATAAATACATTAAAATAATGGGGTCAGAAAGCTACTCATCAAGCCAGGCTAGTATTAACAGTAGATTTGATTATCTATCAATCTACACAGGACCAACCTCATCCGACTTCAAAGTTGGTGGGAGAGACAGTTCATAAACTTCCCTCATTATTCTTTCCTTTGAGTTAAAGCATATGTAGCCCCACTAAAAAAAAATTAACAAATAATATTTGAAAGGGTATCATAGATGATAATATATTATCTCACTCACATTAATTCACCAAAATACCCAGCCCCTCAACTAATTTACTTCTGAGTTACCCAGAAAAAAGAGTAGAGAGAACTGTGTGGGACAACTGGGACATAATCACAGTGGTTGGCCACATTCATCCAGTCTTTGATTCACTCCACAGACATTTATTGGGTATTTACAATGTGCAACCTATTGTGCTAAATGATATGGAGAATTTAGAAACAAGTACAATCTACTCATTGCTCCTAAGTAGTTTACAATATTGTAAAGGAACAAGTAAAAATGATTCTAATGTAGGATGAAATGTGACGTGTGTTCAATAAGTACATGATGAATGTGAGACTGGGACTCAGCCAGAAGTCCCCGTCTTCTAACTATGCATGGTCTTTTACACGTTTTTTTAAAAGTTACCTCTGTATTCTCTCCCTTACCTTTTTTATTGTTTATTTTTATTTGTTTTACTGCTGAACCCAACCCATTCCTACTCAATTTCCTATTTGAGGGCAAGAAGTGTGTGTGTGTGTGTGTGTGTGTGTGTGTGTGTGTGTGTGTGTGTGTGTGTGTTTTAAAAAAATTTTATATCCTAAGACCCGTATGAAAATCTCTTATATAGTGCAAGTGTGAGCAAATCCCAGTTGATCTAGATTGACCACATGCTCACCACTAGAGCTGTTTGGAGATTGCTGGTGACCCTTAGCCAATGCCATGCAATATACAGTGGATTCTTGTTATTCATGGGCGTTATATCCTATAACATCACCACGAACATTAAATTAGGGAGCATAGATCCACTGCTCCCAGGGAAATACACACAAATATACATATCTCACATACAGTATGATTTTAAACGCTTAAAACAATCCATCCTAGTAGATTCTACTTTCTTTATTTGACAAAAGAAAAACTGAGGTCTGAAGTACTGCCTGAAGCCACTCTGCTAATAGTTGTGAGAGCTGGGAATCAAATGCCCTCCAACTCTTGGTGATATGGAGCTTTCGCCCTGTGCAATGCTGCCTCTCATCTCCATCCTCATCTCCCAGCGCTGCAAGAAAGCAGAGCAACACCTTGTCATGCTCAGAGGGTGACTCCAAGTTTTTGCTGCTTTGCTCATGTCTGTGGAATGACTGTGAAAGTGCTGTAATCACTGATTTTAGGATTACAAATAAATTTTAGTGAATAAGCAAATTTGCA